AACTGTGCAGAATTAATTAATTTTATTCGCAGAATTGGTATTTTAGCACGGACGGAATTGACCCAATAGCACCGCAGGCCCTGATACAATCTGATTTCTCGCGTTTCTGCCAATCACCAATAAAAATAATCAATTTTTGCATTCTGACGTAACAAGTAAACAATTCGCGTATATAACAACAAAAAAAAAAAAATTAAACAACTTAATTTCTTTTCTTTTTACAATCAAGATACTTTATGTCGTAGGGTTTTGCAAATGCCGGCATGTGCCCTATTAGAACGCACGGGCATGGCACTATGTTTTAATAATAATACATTAGCTGATAAGCTGATATAGTTCTTCTAGACTATTCTTAGGGGCGAACCTTCATGGTAGTTATGTTAGTCAGTTGTTTGCTAAGTGTAAAATGGTATGAATTTTGTAGATTAGCTTATTTAAAGGAATAAGCTCCTGTCCAACCAATTCGTTTATTGGGTTTATCTCACAAGTTTTCTTTTTTTAACTATACGGTAAAGGTTTGCTTTTTATTTTGTCTTACTCGACAATGATGAAAAAGAAGACCTTCATCGTGTTATATCAGTCCCTGAAGAAAGGATACAGATTTTAAAGGACAATACTTTTTTACAGGTAACTTGTCTACACCATTTACACAATCCGCCAAAACTATGGGTTAACCTAGGGATGTTGACGATCTAGTCTGATATGAACTATATAATCTTAAGACTTGGTCAGTCTAGACTAGTTGACATATGGGAATCCAACAGCAATAAGGGGACAATGGGCCAAAAAATTTTTTTTGAAAAATCAATTTCTTGAAAAATTAGAGTAATAAGCATATATAATTTTTATAAGATTACGAAGGCAAAATTTTTGGCCCATTGCCTCGTTGCTATGGAGTTCCTATATGTAAATACAAGTTTGGAAATTTTCATGACAAAATGTGGAGAAACATTCTTAACGAAGTACAACCGAGAATGGTAACGAAAGATAACATAGTGGAAGAAGTCAAAAATCTACCTAGGGATGGTAACCTTTTTCGAAATGAGAACCTTTTTGTGGACCCTAATTAACCAAATGATCAAACAAACCGATTTAAACCAGTAAGCTCTATGGTTGTTACAAACCATAGCGAACGCTTTGGCTCAACCACAGGAACCCCAGACAGAAATAAAGGAGTGAAATGTAGTAAAAATTCCTACCTGTCGAATTGTTGGAATTAGTCACACGGGCTTTCGAAGCGAGGATCAAGGTGGCTTACTGTAATAGTCCGAGCTGGTCTGTCTTAATCGTGATCTATTACTGTATTAGCCTAGACCAGACCACATAGAATTCGTAGGTTAACAGCTATATGAGTCACCGCAGGAGGGATTGTCGCCAAGATTATAATTTGAGAAATAAGTACCATACCTTCTACTTTAGTTTATTCAATCTCAGATTAGGACCATTGACTATTGGCCGGTGGCCAAACATATGGGCGAAAGGCTAAAAAAAACGAAAAAAACACTGATTTCATGTGACCAGCCAATCATATCCTTTGTACATGATTCGGCATTTAATTTTACACATATTGTATACCCGGGTGTTCTAAAAGTCACTCAACAATCCTTGTTTTTATACTGGGTGAGTGAAAAGTAGCTGCTTTTTTCAATCTATGATTATCATTAGTAATCATTGCAATAAATTAAAATTTATTATAATTTATTGCAATATTTACTAAACGTTAAAATGACAATCTGTGATTGAAAAAAAGTCATTGTCTAACTACTTTTCACCCACCTGGTATAGAGACACAATAATGATCATTTGTGCGAAAATATTACGTATTGTGATGTTATCATAGGGATTTATATTAATAAAAATAATTAATAATTATTGCATTACAATAATATTTTACATAAATAGTCATAACTTATATAATATATATATAAACAGAAATAGTCATTATTATGACTTATATAATATATATAAACAGAGGCTGTTGAGTGACTTTTAGAACACCCGGGTGTATATGTTGCCCCAATTGAAATTGGGATGGCCTATATGTGTGTCAGTTTGCTAAAATTTACATAAATGCCTGGCCTAAATTAATTTGTTTATGCTGGTAATTTGGGCCAATTAATATTTAGGACAAATTGACATCTAGGCACAACATATACTGTATACAGTTTTTTTTTAATACTAAAACAGCACTCTGAAGTTTGAGGCCTGATTTCAAATGTAAGCTCTAATAATTATATATCATAATCAATAACCTTAATCAACTAGTCGACTTTAGTTGATTATTGTCACGACAAACTAAAGTCGATTCTTCGCGATCACTCTCTATATAATAGTTGTAGGGAAAATTCAAAAAATTTTCAGTGAAATCGATTTTTCGATCCGAGCCGGATTATATAAAATCAGAACCGAAAAGAATATAAATCAAAATATTTGTGAAAAAATTATGCAATGTTTACAAGCATGCAGATTTTGGCAGTTATATTTAAACTAAAAAAATGCTTATCATTTGCGGATATGCAGTAAATTTTGCATGTTTTTAAAAATATGTTTTATGGACATTATTGTGGTGCTTTTTTCGTTAAAGTAATCGAGCCAAGAATCCCAATTTGGGTATTAATGAGTGCAGTCCAGGTCAGTTTAATTATACATCGATCGATATGTTGTTTATAATTTAGTCCACGATAATTATCTCATCTAACAATAATTATGTAGTTTATTGATGTGTTACATATTCTCTTTGTTATTTTTAACATTGAAAAAGGTATATATAAAATTGATATGAATTGATATTCTATTGTTAAAAGTTTGTTGAAAACTTAGATATTAAAAACTTAATTATTAATGATATTTCATTAGTCGCAATTAGACATGGATATACGATTAGCGAGGAAATAATCTCTGCACCTTATTCGCACTCGCTACTTGGTGCGACAATCTGGAGTTTGGTTGCTGGCTTGTGGTATCACTTTTTCTCTGGTTTCGGAGGTGGTAACAAGGTTACCCTTCTATTTTGCTTACTGGTGCTTTCTCACTGGCTTGAGGACTTGGTGGTCCATGATAAGGGTAAGGATCCTATCTTTTTAATACAATTTATGCATGTTTAAATAATCACTATTCTACCAAATAATAGATTTGCTACTATTCACCTTTGACAATGCTAAGCCAAAATACGGATTTGATCTTTATAAAAGTTTTTTATTTAGCCAATTATTAGAATTCGGCTTATTATTTTCTTCATTTTATTACTATCTTAAAAACACCAAGATTGATTCAAAAAATTCTTCGAATTTTTGGGTAAAGTGGAGTGTGAGTGCTGTAGTCGTGGACTTTATAATAAGTCACTCTACATCATATATCACACCGCCAAGCATCCTATTTTTATGCATTACGATGTTAACTCTTCAATTTAAATCTTGTTATCTTGCTAATCAATTAGATAAAGTTAGAACTCCGATCAAAGAAAGTACCAATTAATATTCATGCTAAAAATACGTTGACATCTTATTTAAGTCGTATGAGATTTATTCAAATCTTGTTCAAAGTGTTCTTTTAATCAATATTAATTTAGTGTTTAAAATAAATCATGAATTCATCATATTATTCCAAGAATTTATTAGTGTACATTTCGAAATTGTTAAATATATTTATATATTACAAAATTACACAAAAGAAAGTTCAGATCCTATTTCGTGGTTGCTTGAGCGATGTAAGCATCTAATTCTTGTGCAATGATTTGATTAGCACATTTGCTTCTTATTTCTCTGTTGTTTTGATAAAATATTACATTAGAGACAATTCTACTATAAATTTCAATGAATGTATAAAATCGTACCGCAGTAACTGAATATCCTTTAGCGCGAGTGCTTCTTGAGCTGCGGCCCTGAAGTCTCCTATTTTTATATACAAGCCGGGTCGAACTGCCGGTTCACATTTTTGAATGTATTTAGCAGCTTCGCTTTGTTGTGTGGCCTTAATACACTCCTCAACAAATGGCTGAAATAATAGATTAATTAATTTGGGGAATATCTAAAATACAAGCATTGAAAATAATATCCAATTTTTTTTACTTCATATCCGATAGGCGATTTCTTTGACTTTGAAAATCGATCCAACTCATCCCAGTCTCTCATTTCGACTAAAGCTTTTAATTTGATCCACCAGAACCTAATTAAGTAGTCGATACAATTACAAAATTTTTCATACACATAAATATCCCTAGAAAAAAATTTGATAATCACAAACCGTTTATCAGGAATTTTAAAGTCTGATTTAAGCTTATTTGCTTTGCTATGCTGATTTGCGATAATACACTTGTGAACTGTCTCACTCAAAGGTAATCCAATCAATCGTTGATTCATTTCTTTTTCTAATTGAGATTGTGATTGTAATAATTTGATATTTTCGTCAATAGCCTAACATGTAAGAAATGCAAGAAATGTAAGAAATGCAAGAAATGTAAGAAATGCAAGAAATGTAAAAAATGTAAGAAATGGTTGGGACGATCGACGAACAAGAGCAAAAAAAAAACAGACAATGTACCTTCGCTTCAAAAGAGTGCTCTTTATCATCTTGATACCACTTCAATGCAACCTTCAGCTTATTAATTCTTTCAGTCAAATCCTAAAGCATGAGATTTTTTTTTTAGATAACGTAAGAGAAATCATTAAATAATTAATTATAAATGCTTACCCTTTGATTATAACTCTCTAATATTGCTATATTAGCACTTTCTACTCGTCTGTCATCTTGATAATAGAAGTCATTTAAAAGCTTCAAGTCTTGCTGCTTGCAATATACTTCCAGTAAATTACAAGCCATAGGTTTATTGTTGATGATTCTGAAAAATTCACCAAGTGGAAGTTTTCTCTTGAGATGAAGCATTACTAAGTAAACTATTATAAAATAATATAATAAATAATGATTGACAGTAACCCTTTTTTGAACTATGATTTATTTTCGATTCGTACCTAAATCAGTATCACCGCTTTCAATCGCCTTTATTAGCGCTAACTCATCCTCTTGCATGCTCATAAGTAGAGGTACTTGATCAGCTGCACGTGGCTCATAATCGAGTAACTAAAAAAAGGATATATAATTTAGACTAAAAATTTAAAAAGAGAAAAGTTATAATTAAAATCATAGTATATACTCTTGTTGCTAGCTTTGGTTGCCCAACTTTATGAGCAGTTCTCGCAATTTCAGCATAAGAAAGACCGGGTTTGTTAGCCAGCTTCTCTACGATCATCCGGCAAATCGTTTCCTCATCATCCGTAGATTTTTTAATCTATAGAAAATTGAATATATATTGTGAGAGAAAGATCTGTAAATATTTTATTCTATTATAAATGAAAATTGAATATGTATTATGAAGTAAAAGAACATTGCTTGCCTTTGAGCAGGCCCAATGTATGAGAACTCGATCTGTTCTCGTCTTTAAATATTCACAAATTCTTAATGCTAGCAAATGATGATGGCGGTTTATCAATCTATCGATCAATGCATCTGGTGTAATGCGTAAATATCTATAAAAATTTTTGATAAATAAATTATCTTTCATAGACGCGAATGGTTTAAAAATAAATGATATTAACTGCGTATAAGTTATTGGTATTCCAATTTCGAAATATCGTACAGAATTTAACACCCTCACTATTTGGCACATCTCTACGAAGCGATCAGAGTTATATGATTCGAGAAATGTTTTGCCAAATGCTGCTGCTTTAAGTAGACTTCGTTGCCGAACTGCGCTAAATTCATGACCTGCGGCCTCAATACAAGCATCAACGGCATCAGCAAGTTCCGGACGAATGCTTCGTATATTTTCATCAGCTTTTGGGCTCCGTTTCTAAAACATAATTATTTGAAATAATGAGAACATTATTTTTGTTTTAAAGTTTGGAACCGACTAAAACCGATTAAATCCGGTTTCATAAAACAAGTCCAAAGTTCTAGATTAGACATTAAGTTGCATATTTCCTTACGTCAAAGTGCTCTAAAGCGTCGTATAACATTGCCGCTGGATCTGTGGAACCTATTTTGAAAATTTCTTCGGTAACATCTACAGAATATCAAGTGTCTCAGCTTGCAATGTTTCATCAAAAATAAGAAAAATGATAAAAAGTATATATATATATATAAGACATACTTGGAACTTTTTGTAAAAATTCACATTTATCGCTACTAATTATGCGAACACCATCTATCTCGGGAATTAAATGTATGTCATCATCATAAGGATATCTAACCCAATCGCCAAATGGACCAACCATTAAAAGAAGTTGATCCCAATATAGAACAACCGAATCAGTACCGCACCTATGTATAAAAATTTGTTTGATTCCGTAAAAATTAATTAATTATCTATAGAATTAATGTCTGACATAGCAATAATAATTGTAATAACAATATTGTGATAATAATTGTCACGGCTGAAGCTGAAAATTAGGGATCCCGATTTAAAAATAACCCTAAACCCTAATCTAATTATTAAAAAAAAAATGCTAAAAAAAAATGCACTCCGAAAATTTTTGAAAATTTCATATTAAAATAGTTAAGCCGTGACAATAATTATTGTTATTACTATTATTACTACAGTCTTTTATTACTATATTATTACTAATGGTTTTCCTACCAGACCAGCTGTTGAGGTGGTACTTGTGACTTTGTGGGAAACTCTGAAAGATTCTTTGAAAAATCGGTGGAGACAACCATAAGTTTACCTTCATTGGTGAAGAGAGCTAAAAATTTGCCATTTGGAGATACATCCATCCTGGTAAAGGGACCCTGCAGAAGATTCTAAAAATACAAATTATTTTAAATATTAGTTATTTACGATATTGATTGAAAGCTTGTTGTATAAAAAAAAAAAAATGTATTGAGCACTTACTTGATTCTGAGACTCTATCACATCAACAGTCAGGATCGTAGAGCCTGTAGCTAAAAGTACTTCCACATGACGGCTGAGTGTGTATTGAGGTGGAATTAATGTCCAACTATGAGGTGGTTCGTTCAATCCTTGTGGAAAATGCAATGGCTTGTTAAGCTTTTAATAAATTATTTATCAAACTCCATAACAAATTTACCTGGATCAGCCATAAGTCGTGGCCTAGGTTCTTCAAAATTTGTCAGAGCAATCAGCTTAAAATTCCCGGTCAATGCTACTAGACCGGTTCCCCAAATCTGACAATCGATAACTGAATGATCTTTGGCTTCCTACAAATAATGTAATATTTATAATAATACATCAAATAAGCAAGTATTCACGGTTCTGTAAATACAGTAATATAATTGTTAATACCCACTTTGCCAAGAGAAAATCCGGTAAAATCACCATGAATATCATACAATCTTATAGTACCATCTTCCAGAACGACAACCAATTGTTCAGCATCGGTCCAACCCATTTTAATAATACGACCTTTGTCCCACTATAATATAAAATCAACTAAATCAGAAAAGTTTCGAGAACCCATCAAATAGATTAAAAATATCCTACCTGTAACTGCTCCATTAATTTTCCGGCTGACGTATAAAGATAAATGGTAGGTTTAACAGGCTGCTGCTTTTGCAATGTTAAAACTTTTTTATCATCACGAATCATTGCTACAAAGTAAAAAAATCAAAGTCTTTTAAAACAAAATCGCGTAATTTTTTTTTTTCCTTAAAAAAAAAAATCTAGCATGTATTTATACATTCGTAGAAATTACCTATTGGTCCTCCGTATGAAGCACCGGCTATCATATATTTTGACAAATCCATGTGCTTCCACAGCATCTTATATACTTCTTGCTTCCTAAAGCATTAAAAACACGCGTATTAAAATGAGCGTCAGTGACTTATCGACAGTATAATTTTTTGTTTCACAACGGTTACCTGTAGAAGCGATCTTGCAATTGGTCCCAATCGGTTGCTGGGTGAGGCGACATACTTGCGATTCTAAACAGCGATCCTGAAGGAATTAAGACTTGATTATATATAATTCAACTTTAATTATCCAGTACAGTTTAAAACTACCGGGAAGACGTTCATATGATTTCTACCGAGTAACTTTTTTGTGATTGGTTAATTTCATCTAGGAATAATTTTTTGTGAAGCGACGGACTTGCACTTTGATGACCGAAATTACGTTTTTGATAAATTAATAATAAAACTATCAGAAACGTAGTTTGGCATTTTCCGGATGTTACGCCCCAGAAAATTTTGATTAGCTATAGAATTTTTCAGGCAATATTCTCTTGGCGAGTATCAATATTTATCGTTATACATGTATGAAAGTTTAAAACTCCGGGCTTTTACTGGGTTCCAAAAATTTCTCTACACCCTTTTCGATTTGTAAGGAATTAGATGTCCCAGAGTTTATCTAAGGATCGATCCTAGTTTTTTTTATATATGCTCTATATGAGCTTGAACAAATTTTATTTGTTAAAAGACTTGGTGAATCAAATATTCAGGTGTTAAAAGCTATCGTTTTATATGATCGCAAATTCAAATTAAGTATGAGTTGCGCTAATATTCTGTGCGTATCCCAAAATATGATACTGCCATTTAAAATTTTTTACTTCAAGTTCTCTTTTACTATACTCGTTACTTTTTTTATCGAATAGATATCTATTCAAATAAAAAAATTGTAAAGATGGGCTGTTTTAATACGTAAGACCCATATATCAGAATTAAAAATATTTTCTATCAATTCAGAGATTTCACTTAGTAAGATGTTTCTAATTAGCAATAAGATTGCATTTTTCTTTATTTTGTGATAACCTTTGTTCCAATTTCGAAACCCTAGATTTGAGTTCGATATTCTCGTTTATAAGTTTACAATCTGTTTTATTTTTTCTATCTTGTTTCTTTAATCTAGCCTTAAATTCAGTATTCTCTTCTATAATCTGCTTAAATTTTGTATTTTCTACTTTTTTATAAGTTCAGTAATCTCAACTGTAAGTTTGGAATTTAATTCTCTTAACAAAAGCAATTGTAGTTTGTAAATCTGCTATAGTTTTACATAAAATACTAATATATTCAAAATAAAAACTTTAATGTCCAAATTTTTAAAAGTTCTTGATCATATGCAAGTTAATAGATATTGATAAAATAAATTCATGAAATACACACTTATGAAATAAGGACGCAAAAGTAAACTACTTATGCAATATATGCATTGAAATCAGCCACCAAGGCCAGTGTTGTAGATATTAAAAAATAAAATGAAATATACACATAGATATATTTTAAAAACATGAGTTTTTTTGTTTAGTTAACCTTCCGGTTTTAATATTTTTCCTAGGTCTTTTTTGTTCCAGTTCTTCCTTAGGCGGTGATGAGTTGGATTAATATTTCAAGATGGATGTATGCCGATATATTCATCGAGGCCGTTGATATTAATTGTAAGAATACCGTCATGATACCACCCTACTTGTCGTCTATCTTCGGGAAGTTTCAATGGAATTTTTTGATGTGAACAAATAAACAAACTATATATATCTGATATAGTATGCAATAAGTATGAATATCCGTTACGATCATAATGTTTCTTAATGTTAATAGTAAACGAACTAAACATTTAGTATGTAATGTGTGAGGTGTTAATGGAATTTCAGAATGGAAATATCTTGGTATCCCAGCGAGATTCTTTACGAGAATGTTGAGAAGAACTCTTCTGTTAAACTGGCTTGCTTCATCCTTTTTAAAAAGAATGTTAATATTTAACAGTAAATTTTGAGTGGTAATGATGATAACACTTGGTGAGTTATGGGATTTGGCAATTTTGACCAAAACTTTGGCAGTTCAATTGATTTCCATATCTTCAAAAATGCTTTATTCCCTTCATCATTAAAAAGAGCTAGTATATACTCCATTAGTCTTTGCATTTTTTTCCATCTTAACATGGAGAATTAGGAAATCCCATATACTGTATTAATATCCATGTGAAAGATTCAACAAAGATAAACTTAGATTATCAAAAAGCGCCTCCGCTAACTCCACTCCTGCGTCAGATTGTAAGAAATATCTAAAACCTTTAGAGTCGAATTTGAATTAAGCAATCTGGCAAGAGCAATTCCTCCAACGTTGAGAATATGGCATGCTTTAAGATTTAGATGTGTTAAGGTCCATGGGTAAATCATTCACATGCCTTCCACTTTGGAGACTCCCAAATTCATCTTAGCGCTAGTAATATTTCATTGTTATTTCCTTTAGTTTTTCTGGATCGTCTAAAAACATTATATTTTGCACTCCAAAATTTTAGTGTGTTTATTTTTCTCTTTTCCAAACAAAAATCTTTGCAGAATTTTTTAATATGTTGTTATTTAGTATCAAGAATTTTTGAAAAGTATGGAACAGAACATCGGTCAAAATTTTTTCACCAATGCTCGAAATTCTAGAGCTTGGAATCAATGAATGATCGAAATTCACCGGTTCCAATCTGGTTAACTTTTCATTAATCAACTTTTGCGTTATTCATCTTAATTATTTTTTTTACTTACTATTAAAAATTTTTTTTTTATATATTTATTATTTATAACTTCATTTTGTGCCAAATAAAATTTAAACCAGTTTTTGTTCTGATAATAGCAGTAATAAAAACCCTATGAAATCCTACCAGAGTTGCGTTTCTTTAAACTAGAATGTTAATTCAAATCGTTTATGTTTTAGTTCCTTATTTGTAAACTTTAATAAAGCGTCCATGAACTTTTTTATAGAACTAGGTGAGAATTCAAAACTAGTTATAAATTTTATTAAAACCTTAAATTCTATAACGACGGGTGAATTACATATTTCATATTACCAAATTACGTTCTAGTTTGGTAGGCTGACGGACCAGTAATTCGAGAGGCCAGTAAAATAATGATCGAATTTATTCTATATTATTCGAACTAATTATCCGGAGAGCCCTTTAAACATAACAGAGTATTGATGTAGATCAAAGTAAAAAGTTTGTCTTTAATATAATTTATTTATTTATTTATTAACCAAAAGAACCAAAATTTTCTTAACCTGTATTAATAAATGTTTTTAAATGAAAATCTTTAGACTTTTATTTCACAAAATACTATGATCTTATTATCGTTAACCCAGTAATATAATCTTAGAGATCGATATTAAGTTAACTAAGAACTAAAATCAATCCAAATGCTTAAATAATTACAGTCACAAAATGAAAATGAATAGCCTCTTATCGAATTTCAGATTGAATAAACGTAAAAGAAAAAAATATCCTCATATGTTAAAAGTTTTAATCAGTTTTAACATATCTGATATGAAAAATAAAATCGATTCCAATTACTGTAATAAGGCTACTGAATAATTGTCCAAAGCATAGCGAGGATATATGGGATCTTTGCTAGGGAAATCACCCTTCGGGATTTTCCGATCGGGCTAATTCGGAAAAGTTTAGACTAGAATGTCGGTTCTTATTTCATATGTAAAGCGTCTTTTTTACTTTACTGATTCGACAAGAACGTCTAGGCTTTTCCGAATTAGCCCGATCGGAAACCCCGAAGGGTGATTTTCCTAGCAAAGATCCCACCCAAATTCAAATTCCACCATCAACAGAAGGATGTTCATGCATTGTAATCATGTTTATGTCCATCATGTATTATAGTCAATATACTGTATTATATAATAGGGACTCCCGATTTAAAATTTTCAATTTTTCGATGATTTTAAACGAGTAATAAAATAACATGTATTTTATTATCAAAGTTTTTAAGTACAAGCTTACGAATTTTGTAAATGATCAACTCTTTTGAAAAATTTTATTCTTAACTGCGCCATTATACCTCCCGTTACCTTATATATCCATGGGCAAATAATTTTTTTGATTATCAAAATATTTTTTTTTATTTGATCTGTCTGCCAATGTCGACACATATTTCTTATACTGTTGAATCTTCAATCTCTGCGTATTCTGCTTCAGAGTATAGTGAATCTGAATATGATCCTAACGGTAGATTTTTCATTTCTTTTCCTATCGATTCTTTATATAATTTATTGAATCACTTGTGCATAATAGACGAACGTTGGGACGATTGGGAGGAAGAAACACAAGATTCAAAATGTTTGTTCTGCAAGGACTTATTTAATGCAACGAACGAGCTGTTTCAGCATTGCAAAGAAAGGCACGGCTTTGACTTTCAGACACTTCGTACTGAACTAAGTATGTATATATATGCTATAATTTAAACAGTTAATGCTAAACTTACGACTTTTTAACTGTATTACTTAATTCGTTTAATTTTACAGAACTCGACTTTTATCAGTCTATTCGCCTAATAAATTATATCCGTAATCAGGTAAAATTATATATTCTTTAAGTTATTTCTGAATAAATGCATTAGTTACCTATATGTGTACAGGTCTTAAACAATTCAGGATTGGAAAATACCACATCTTATTCAATACCAGATATACAAGCGATCATTAACGATGATGCATACCTCAAGCCTGTACACGAGGATGACCCTTTATTATATGGTACGAATTCTATATCATTTATTTGTATCCTAATACCTGTACCTTATTTAATCTATTTTCTATTGATCTTATAGCATTTGACAGTGCAGATACCGACGAATTTGATGTGGATACACCTTCAGAAAAATTAATTGATCATGATGATCAAGAAGGTTGCTAAAAAATTATATATTTACAAAGAGATAAATGTTAAAATATCACTTTATTTAATCGAGATATTATTATTAGCTTTAACAGCAAGTTTAAATATAACTACACCATTAGAGCACGAACTTCTTAAACGACTCAGAATTGCTGAAGAAAAACTCTTTAATACAGATGTACAACTCAGAAAGACTGAAAATCAATTTGATGAATATAGAAATATGGTAAAAGAATCATTCTTTGACAGTTATTTTGACGCTGAAAGGTCAGTACTTATTCGAAGGTGTACACACTCTTTTTAGCTATTTATGGTATGTGGTTAGAATAATTTTCACTCAATTATTGTTTCACAGCGAAAAATCAGTGAATTCATTGCAACTAACTAGTAATTCTGAAACAAAAGATTACTTTAATTCATATGCAAAAAATGGTCTGTACAGCAATTCAAATTTTTTTT